TTAACTCATTTCACTTTTGCTCTCACTGCTGTAGTTTTTGAGATATAAGCCAAAAACTGCTTTTGTCCCATATGTTCTATTTTTAGCCATGGCGGCCATGTTTGTTGATGGATCAAAACTTCGGATATATATTTATAAACTAGATACACTAAGGAACATTCAGTTAAAGTTTGAAGGTATTTGGGCCATTAGTTTAATAGAAGATTCTTGAAATATTTTACGACGACGACAAACGACGACGACGACAGACGACGGACGACAACGGACACCAAGGGATGGCATAAGCTCACATGGGGCTCTTGAAAGACTTACATTGTATTTTTAAGTCGATCAGAAAATTTGACAAAGTACTTTAAACATCAAAATAACATATGTATTCGATAATAAAGATGCTATCTATAAACTCCAAGGGTTAAAGCTATAATTACAATGCTATTTGAAAAACAGTTTAACGAATTACGCCATCAACCATTTCTTAAAAATACCATAATCTAAATGTAAAATTGACTGATCCATGTAATAATTTGAAGAATTATCTTTTCTTCTCTTTTGGAACTTAGTTCCTAGTATTTTATCTCTATCTATCAACACAAATATTAATAAGAAATAAAACCGATAAGATAATGATTTGCTAAAGACTAAAGAAATAACGGTTCGAGGAAAGCCATCTTATGCAAGAATGTCAAAATGAATTGGAAAAATGTTACGATGAAGAACAGCAAACGAAAAGCAATCTTATGAACTTACAATCTCATACGCATCCACCCTGCACCCCGCATACATTTGGGAGTATTACAAAACATTACAAAACACATTATGGACCTACCACATCCGGATTTTTCGTGGACTTTAGTTACGTATGTGACAGCTTTAAGCACCTCGTCATCCTTTGTTATATTGAGACCAAGGACGTGCAGTCGCCCTGTTTTACTTGCTTTGAGGTTCTTAGCTCCATCACTTTGTTCTGACAAACAACCAGCAAAAACTGTAAATCCCAAGCTGTCTAATCTTTTGGCAAATTCGTGTCCAAATCCTGGAGAACATAACAAACAATCAAATATAGCTTATAAATAATAATTTGGCTCTAAACACGCTAACACGTCCAACAATTTTTATTAGAAAAAAAAACATTATTTTTTACTCTTCCCTTGTAAAACAAATTATTTCGTTCAAGAAATAAAGAATAAAACAAATGATTAAAATAAAACATGCCCTTCCCCTTAAAAAGATGAATGGTCGAAGCATAAACTTGTGTAAAAGGAGGGCTTGGCACGTAGGGCTAGGTAACAATGCGTTAACACTGCTGAATGCAACATCGTCTTCGCAGTGGGTTTTTTCAGTTAGTCGCCAAATGTATCAAAAGAGTATGATTTCTCCAAATTTGACTAAATTTGACAAAATTGAACCAAACTGGACGCTAAAAACTAATTATTATTTCACTATATATTTCACTTTCATTAATGATAGAAACAAAGTAAAATTATTTTTGTATATCTCGTGGCTAATGTCCCGTTAAGTTTTATATAGACTTTAATGTTATAAGTTGTTTAACAGGATTCAATTCTCATTAGAACATTAAAAGTAAGCCTTTTCACATAGATATATTTCTGGAGTAATCTTCATTTAAAACGTATATACTAGACATAGTTGATGCTTTACCTTGTGATTACTCGCTTCATCTCCATGGCGTTAGTAAAGAAAGGGGGGGGTAACCTTGTAAAATAGTCATAATAGATTATTTTGCTTTTGTTATTAGTGACACTTTGTTTAGAAAAATTCAAACATACCTGTACCAGTGATTTGCATATTTTTTAACCATTTTTTAGAACGCCTTATAAAATAAATCTGAAATCTCGAAGAAAAAATCAGTTATTCCGTGGTAATAATCATTTGTTGGACAGCACCATAACTGACAATCGAGTGCACCTACATATTACCCGAAAAGGCACAAATCGAATTTACAATTATGCCTTTAAATTTGATAGTTAATGAGAGCTACCTTATAAATATTTAAGCGTTCGTAATTATTTTGTTTGTTTTTTTTGTTGTTGTTGACAGTTGTCTACCACTTAAAGCCATGTACTTAAACGTTGAGTGGAGTGGAGTGGAGTGTTGGAGTGGAGTGGAGTGGTGGAGTTTTGGAGTGTTGGAGTGGAGTCATGGAGTGTCATGGTGCATCTTACACATTTCAGGACATCTTTAAATGTGTGTGCGACCTAGACTGCATGTTTGGAGATATAACCTTAAATCATACCTATGACACATCCAAGGTGAATTATATTGGTACAATGTACACGAATGCAGTTGGACGTTGGTGAGACCAAACATCCAGATTCTTTCTATGATTTTCAAAGCTATAAAAAAAAAAACATATCTTATAAATTGGTTTAATTTTAAAACTATTGACCCAACAACTCAACTTCTTTCCATTTCCGGGGGCCTCGGTGGCCGAGTGGTCTAAGTAGTCCAACTACTGTATCACTAGCCAGTCAACACTGAGGTTGTGAGTTCGAATCCCGCACGGGGCAGGTCACAGTGCACTCGACTCCAATCTTAATTGACTAGGATTGTCAGTTTTCCTACCGAACGTCGGTGGTTCTCTCCGGGCACTCCGGCTTCCTCCACCAATAAAAACTGACCGCCACGAAATAGCACAATAGTGTTGAAAGTGGCGTTAAACACCAATCAATCACTCCATTTCTTACTCCATGTTTTCACTCCATGACTCCACTCCAACACTCCACCACTCCACTCAACCCTAGCTGGCCTACTAATTAAATGTAGGCTGAAGGCTGTACGATTGCCTATAATTGCTAACATCCACTTCATTTTAACATTGGTGGATAGTTGTCTCATTGGCAATCATACCACATCTACTTATTTTTATATTGAAGGATGTACACAAAATGAAAACGATCAAATTTAACGACGTTACTTACCGGTATCACATCCAGTAATCAGGACTCCTTGGCCAGATATAGGTATCCGTTTTATTGTAGATTTCCTGTACAAGAAGAATGCAACATAAATAACAGACAGACAGACGAGAACAGTGGTCACGTAACAACACGAAAGTAACAGCGGCAGGCATACAATTGCCACCAACCGTCCTACATCCCAATATGTCAAACCTATTGGCAATGCGGCCATGTTTTGTTAGATTGTTGTGTATATAGGGTGCTAGTATGTGTGTGATTAAAACATTGATAAGTCATCAAAGTTAAGGAAACGAAAATGGATTGCTGATAAGTACAATACACAGTTGTTGAGGGCTAAGTGTGTGTTATTTATGAAAAGTTGTGTGCATTGTGTGTTTTATAAAAGAAAAACTTTTTTGGATTTAAGATTCCTTTTTTCCAGCCTGACGAAGATAATAAAATAAAAAAAAACACCTGTATTTCATCTGTTACGGTCCACTTATCCAAGCAGTTTAAATTATCCATTGTTGTTGTTCAGATATTGAGTGTCAAAAGTGTATACAAAGTGCGGATTCTGAAATACCATTTGTACTGTATCTGTCATATATTTCTTATGTAGAATGAGAAATAAACAGACGAACTATTTACAATTTTTTATCGAATATATTGTTTTATAAATGCATGAAGCATTTAGAGAAGCGGGTCCATTGAATTTTAACCAGTGCACACATCTTATACGGTGAAGAACGTTTAAGCAACAATCGAATCACCTTAAATGATGCTTGATTGTTTTTATTTCTTCAAATTGTTGTTACAAATAAGCAAATACGTATACATAAAATTTTGTTGCAAGGTTTTTTGGTGTGGAAGAGCGTGGCACTCTTTCAACATGAGGCATCGGATTTAACGTCCCCATTCTGACCGGACGTGGCTGCAAATAGATATAAGAAGATGTGGTATAAGTGCCAATGAGACAACTCTCCATCCAAGCCACAATTTTAACCTGCAAAAGAAAACCATTATAGGTCAAAGCACGTTCCCCAACACGGAGCACAGGCCCACACCGAACAGCAAGCCACAGAAGGCCCCAAAAATGACTAGCGCAAAACCTTCAAGCAGGAAAACCAACGGTCCAGTCTATATAAAAAAAACGAGAAACACCAATGAACTACATCAACAAACGACAACCACAGAACAACGGGCCCCGACCCAGGACAGGCGCAAACAAACGCAGCGGGCCCAAATGTTTCAACAGGCGCCAACCTTCACCCCAACCCGAAACAATAGTGCAACATCACACCACAGAAAGACACACAACAAAATACATTGTATCATTCCGCACAACTGAACGGACGCCCAACTTTGGCAAGGGTTTACTACCAATCGGAGGATCACCAAAGGATGACCATATTTCTATATCCAAATCAACCCCTGGGTTGCACCTTAGTGTGTCCCGGTTTTAGTTTGTGTAACTCAAAATTATATATTGTTTCATTATCATTTCCTTTTTATTACATTTTCTACTATACATAAAGTCAATAACTCTTGTTTAAGAACTTTTCAAACATTGAAGATTTCATTTTGGAAGTTCAAGTGATAAACAGTTGACATCAGAAACCAGAATCCCACTGGACTTAATTTTATCGATCACTGCATCCCTGAAAAAACCCTGCCTGGAGTGTTTCAATCCGATTTTATATCAGGTGTTTTAAGTTTCGCCAAATGCATAAGATATTTCACAAAAGTTTTTATTGACGGTGTTATGCAGCTATTTAAATTTAGTAGTTCGAAGTTGGATTGTTTATAATCACGATTTTTCAAACATTGTTCAGTCTCACGCTTTCATAGTTTCTCATGTTTCAAGGGTGAAATCAGCTGAACCATAATTCGTGACCGATAGTTAAAAGTGTTAAACTTGTTTAAATATAAAATTACAAGTTTATATATATTAAATAGTTTATGATTAAACGTTTTTTTGCCCAACAAAGGATATATTGTATTTCTTTTTGATAAAATAATAAAACACTGTAATAGTTCTATACAAAACACGCAAAACACCCACAAAATTGGGAACATTATCACCAGGATAGCATGAAATTGCAAATTTTTATTAAAGTTTAGTTCAGTCTTTTTTTTTAACCGAGATGAAAGCTGTATTTTTGTTGCTGGTTGTAAAGGTTGTGTCCATACATGGACATGGTTTTCTAATGGACCCTCCTTACAGGGCTTATGCCGCGGGACACACCACACCCCAAGGAATGAACTGTGGAGGGATTTCGGTGAGTTTTTCATTTAGTCGTTATGCGAAAAAGAAATCCCCATATGCATGGGTAAAACACTATTCATAATAGAATTATCTATCTTTACACTGTATTTGTTTTTGGTAAATTTTATGTAAAATTTGCTATATTCAACCGACAAAACAGTGCCTCTTCATACTTACGCTGTCGGCAAATAGTAAACAGTTTACCATAGCTGTGGGGATAGTTTCAAGCATACTGACGAGGTCATTCATAAGGAGAGTGAAAAGAGCCGGAGACAATATACAAATCATGCATTGTCTTAGGTCAAACTTTTGATCAAAGAAACCTGTTTCACTTTTCCTCTGCAATGCTTTATTTGATGCATTACTTTACAGTGATTTGGACTGTTTTCATCACTAACCTTGCACCGATGCCGTTTTTTCAACAAGCAATGGAAAAGTCTATCTTGACAGACTTTCAAAAGCTTTTGATAGGTTTATTTAAGCAGGAAACATTCGTGTAGCCTTACGAATGGAACATATACCCTGATGTGTACAAAACTGGTCTTCTGTTCTGCCATTATTTTTTTTTTACCTTAAGTCTTCTAGGACCTCGCCTTAAATATATCCTTCTTCTAAGAAGGTAATTACAGATTCTTTTAATATGTAGGAATACACTTTCTAGAATTAAGTTTTATCCATCTATAAGTATGAATACTGAAGACAAATATCCAGCTTTGCATACGGGTTTGATGATGCCCTTTTCCAAGATATAGTTTCAAGGTTTGTTTAATGATTATAAAATTCTATGAATCAACGAGTGCATCATTGCCAAAATTTAAGAATTCGTGAAGTCCCTAATCGATATCACCTGGGAACAGTATATATATGTTCCTGATATCACTAGCTTTGCGAGGCTACTGGTTTCTGGTAGTTATCTACCAACCATTTCCTTTTTATTTTTCAATATTCGAAAGAAATTCCTCAACATCATTCTGCGAATTAGATTTACCGAAGAAACTACTTTGAGAGAATTAAAAAGGTCACGTAAACTAACATTTATATCTTTTCATCCGTTAAAAAATTGCTTTTTTAATTTTCAATTTTGTTTGGGAACAGTAGTCGTCTCCTGGGCTTTTAAATATTCCCGGAAGACTTTTACCTATTTGATGGGTTAACACATTTATCATAAGATTGCATCAATTTCAGAGTGCCTTTTCCCCCTTAACACCAAACAATTTCTTGGATTTTTCTGTATTCAATAAGAGACATTTTTAATTTAAAGGAGAACTTTCAGTGATATTCTAAACGTAAAAATATCGAGTTATTTAAAGTCTAAATATGAATATTTGAAATGTTAAAATGTTGTGTTAAAAGTCGAAATTTCAAGATTTAAATTTCAAAATTTTGACTCTGAACAATAATTTGATGACAATTTTAATTTTGCTATTTTCCTAATACGATTCTGTAGCCATTGTCATATAACGACAATCTGTATTGATATACGAAGCAAATTTCATAGAAGGCTTTGATACCTTGAATTATTGTTAAAGTTGTTAGACAAGCTAGTATGGCAATCAGTATCATCGTTTATTTTCCAAATGAAAATAGATTTTGTTTTGGTTTATTTTTGTACTGCACTTGATAATGTTTATTTTAGTCCTTATTATACAATGTTCACTATATAGTTAAAAAAAGCTGTTTTCATCTAGAATGACACGTGTTTCGTTGAGGCTTAAGCCAAATGCTTAAGAAAGAAAAAAAATAATCAAGTTGCGGTTCTTTGCTTATTCATGAATACGTGGGCATAATCCTTGAAAAACCGGAACGCAGTTTACAGCGCATTCATCCTTGCATGTAAAAACTCGATGCCTAAAATCTTAAAATGTGTCACCTGACGCATCTTAATACATACTAATACGTTAATGTCAAAAATTACTTAAATTTCCTACCTTTGAGCAGTTTTCAAGTATGTGTATATCGGTTACTGGTTGATCAATTCCATCATCATTTGGTAAATATGCAATTTCTTTAGCCGTTAGCATTGCCTATAAACCCATAAACCCTCATATACATCGTCCTTAATACTTTTTGGAAATTATCGTCCAGAACAGGAAGTTCTGATTTTAAGCATAGCTCTATTGGTCCCCTATACCTGATATCCTGCATTTTCCGATCCACGTATACGTAACATCAGGCTTAACAGGTCTGCCATTTTTGTTACACTTTGTTACACTTGATACAAATAAATCATATTTCATTGTTAACTTGATATAGTCAAAATGTGGTGATAGATCATCCACAGAAAAAATTAACGTTAAACTTGTTTATTTAGCACCAATGGGACTCCAGTGGAGGTGTATGTGGTGTCTGTGGCGATGCTTATGGTGGAGTTGAAAATAACATGGCTGGTGGTAAATTTGCTACTGGTGCTGTCACGGCAACTTATACTCAAGGTCAGACTATCGATGTCACAATCAAAATCACTGCCAACCATCTTGGATTCTTTAACTTTAGTTTATGTGTAAACAACGACTTCTCAAAGAAAATAACAGAGGAATGTCTGTCAGAACATCCACTAACCATCACAGATCCAGACAATGGGTTCACTGGATTAGAATGGGACCTCCCTGGTCATGTGACTCTAAAAACTCTCCAACTACATCTACCAGACGATGTGCACTGTACACAATGTGTTCTTAGATGGTATTGGAAAGGAGGTATTTACAAATAACAGTTAACCTCGATGACATGTGTGATTATGGATATCACACATGTCTGTCAAAATAACAGTTATCCTTGATAACATGTGTGATTAGTAACAAATAGATCATGGATATCACACATCATGTCTGTCAAAATAACTGTTAACACACTATTGCTATCGTTCACCATTTGTATTCACATTTTAATTAATTTTGTTGTTTGCTTACCGTCCATCGGCAAATATTTGATGCATGGACGGGAACCAAAACTTCGTCAATAATATTGCTGTACCCAATGATATCTCTAGCTATCTTCGATCTCGAAGTGAGGTAGACGTCGAAAATATTGTATCGCACTGTTATTTAATTTTTAGTCTTTTTAACCTTTGGTCTTTTTATGAAATATACAAATTAAACTTCGTCACTGAAATCAATCGTACATGTATGACTAAATGAAAAAAGTTAGAAAGTTTGAGTGCTGTTTAACTGAGTAACGAGTGTTATGTTAAATATGTGATTTTAAATTGGTTAGCTATCTTTTCAGGAAATAATTGGGGTAGAGATCCTGTTACTGGTATAGGATGTAAGGGATGTGCAGTAAAACAGGAATGTTTCGTCAACTGTGCTGACATAGAAATTGTTAGTAATGGACAACCTGCAACGACCGCCCGACCAGCTGCCACAACCAAAGCCACTACCGCGAATGATGTTGGTGATGGAGCTGGTGGATGCCCAGGCACGATGGCACCCACTCCAATGAACGGCAAACAATGTACAGCAAAAGATACCAGTCAACAAGATGTCGTTCTTTTCTGTCAGAACATGTGCTCCAAATCGACATTTTGTCCAAAATCACACTGTGCTTGCATGTAGAATTGACTTATGACAGGAGACAACATAACAATAATCAGTTTATAGCATATCAATTTCTGTTTTCCTTTAATCACATATCTTAGAACTATATCTCCTATAGGAAACCGATTCACAGACTAAACAAATACAATACAAAAAAATATTTACCAAGTTATGATCTTCTTCTCCCTTTATTATGTTTTTGGCGATCAGAAATTCAAAGTTGTCCCAAGATATCTCTTTTGGTATTTATTTGTTTTAGATTTTTAGTTGTGTTAAGTTTTTGCATGATTTCGCTTAGTTTTTGTTTCAGCAGATTCCCTAAATTTTGTTTTAAAACTATTTGTACATTAAATACTTCGATCATGTCTCTGATGTTAAATGAACTATCTACTGAAACATCTGTTTTCTCAAAATGAAAGACAAATAAATCTACTTTAATAACTCGATTTAATTTTTAATTTTAATTATGTCTAGAATATATGCATAATAGGTGCCCTCGCGAGGTCATATGACACTGATATATTTCTTTTCAAAGTGCCTAATCCATGTCAAATGCCACTGCTAAATTCCGTTTCAAATTGGCTTAGCGATGTTCTATACCTTTGATATATTTTTTTCTAAGCTCTGTCATATACACAACGTGTATTACTGATCTAACCCTTTTTCCAAGTGCCTAAGCGATGACATATACCACTGATCCAACCCTTATCTAAGTGCCTTAGCTATCTCATATGTCATTGATTACTTCCTTTTTTTGAATGTCTAAACGATGGCATATAACACTGATGCATTCATTTTCTGTGTGTCTCAGAGATGACATATGCCACTGACACATTCCTTTCCAAAGTGCCTAAGCAATGACAAAAGTCATAACCTGAAATCTACGCGTACACTAATGAACCGACGAAAACTGTTCACCTTGTTTAGACAAAAAAGTGTTTGGTCGATTTTCAACACTTGCTTTACAATAGATGTAAAACTATACCGTAAAATCATTCACCAAAATGTGTACAGGACTCCTTCAAATCGCGAATTCAAAACGACGCGAATTAAGATTCAGTTGGTAAATCGCGAAATAAAGACGGCGCGTGATACGGTGCTTTTTGTCCGCAATTTGCTTTTTGTCCGCTTTTGCTTTTTGTCCGATAATTTTGCTTTTTGTCCGACACTTTTGCTTTTTGTCCATTGCTTTTTGTCCGTTTTGCTTTTTGTCCGATAATTTTGCTTTTTGTCCGACACTTTTGCTTTTTGTCCGTTGCTTTTTGTCCGTTTTGCTTTTTGTCCGATAATTTTGCTTTTTGTCCGACACTTTTGCTTTTTGTCCGTTGCTTTTGGTCCGTTTTGCTTTTTGTCCGCTGATTTTGCTTTATGTCCGATATAAAAGTGTGTATATTTTTTGCAGGTTTCATTTTGAACTTCGAAACACCATGCCCTTTTTGGAGTTAAATACAGACCATACTCACTTTATAAATGGAGGGGAGGGGGGTCTCGGAGAATTTGAAAATGAATGATATAATACCTGGTAAAAACTTGAAAAGGAAAATTTGCTGAAAAAAAAAGAATGAATATTCCATCCGAAAGTAAATTCGCATGGCCCATACACCCACCTACCACGACCCGAAAATGAAATGATCGATCACCATATATATAACGTTGCAATTATCCCACTGAAACTACCAGCCCAATATCATACTAAATTTGGCTAAATTATCCTTTAATAATGAGAATCTGGAAGCAAGAAGAATTCCGATGAACTCACCGGTAGCCAAATATGACTGCAATGGTTAACATAGAATATAAAGTCGTAAAATACAATTTAAACTTATTTGTATATTAAAACCCTTAACATTAGAAATTTTGATTAAGAATATCTGACAGAGATTAATTGTTAAGAATGTGAAGAACGCCTTACTTAAACTATCGGACGACTCCTTTAATATTAGAGTTGTTGCCCATAACTGAAACTATTTTGATTTGTGTAAGGTTTTTTTTTGTTTGTTTTTTTGTTGCTGTTAATCTTGAAAACATTAATGGTCAGAGAGAAACTTCAAAAATGTTTTAAAAAGCGTACTATCAAGACGATAACAAAAAACTTGACGGATATAGCAAGGACAGTACTGGAATGGAAATTTTGTTTGATTGGAATTTGCATTTGGTCGGTTTAGCTCAAGTTGACGTCCTTTACGGCTCAGCTATTCAACATTTTTATCAGATTTTTTTTTTGTCTCCAACATCACTGAAGAGATATTAATTGCTAAAATGGCTGGTGAAATAAAATTGGTACCGTTAATGTTATTAGAGACGACCTTAGGATTATCGAGAAGGGGTGTGGTTGTTTGGATAATTTTCATCCTATTTCATAACTAAATCCTGAATTGTCCTGTAGTTTGTAGGACAGACTATTTATCTTAATGTTGACATGAAGATGGGCTCAGTTATTTATGTTCCATTACTGACATACAAATCCATCCATTTCGAAAATTTTCTTCCCCAAAAATGTAAAAAAAGAAAACAGTTGTCATTCCCTTACTGACTTTAATTACGACATTTGAGGGGAGGGGTAATTATCTTAGATAGTATTCATGTAAGTATTCTGGTGAAGATGAAATTCATTTTTGTTTCATTCAACGCCCAAGCTGCTTCACTGCACGTAAACATTACTGTGCTGATGAAAAAGATTTTGTTTTCTGTAAAGTAATGACGATATAATATATCACAAACAATATGTTAAAGCAACTGCCAAAAGAAATAAATCAATAACTGACGAATGACAAGAGCTGTCTCTCTCTATCATATATATTTTTTTATGTTCCAAGTCCATACTGCAGATTTCTTTTTTATTCAGCAGTATATTATATGAAGTTCTTAAAAACTTAAAACTCTATGTTAGTACAACATGTATATGCGTGCAGAATTTAGACTGGTACTCTATGTCTTCTTTGATTTTTTTGTGCTATTTACTGACGAGGCAAACCCCTGTTACACTGATTTTTAAAGTTCGCTCAGTGGTTGTTCTGTTGTAATACTGTCCCGGTTTTCGGGGCAAATTGGACTGATTGAAATGAAAGGTTGTGTCATCTTTATGATGCTGCTGATATCGGTGACGAATTTCACTATATATGTATCTTATATCATGTAGTGCTCTCACACAAGAGAGAAAAAGCTGTTGCTACACCAATGCATGAGTCCTAAATTTAACAAATTCAAGCAATAAATGAGCTGAAATAACCATATCATTCTTGAAAAACTTATTAGATTATAACAGTGGGAGTCAGTCCTCCTTCTTAGTCTACACAGTTATGTTTGCATTTGTACATTTGTAGTACTACTCATTTGAAATACTGAAATCGACCCATAATAATGAAGTTATTTTCACAAATCAAGTACTATAATAAAATAAAGGTACAATGTTATGCATTACCGTTCTTCAATTTTTTTATCATTACAAAAGTAAACATACAAAAGTGATTGTGTATATTGTCAACATAGGCAAAAATGTTTAGTGTTATCGTGCATATTTATAATAAATTTTGCGTTTCTATATTTAATAGTTGAAGTTTGTAAGAAATAGTTCAAAGCTGAAATTTCAAATTATGCATATAACATAATCTATAACATATACGGAATGCCATAGAAAATGCAATGCTATTATTATTTTTTTTCTCCAAAAAACATACTGATTTATTTTCAGCTCACCTAGCTCTATTGACCAAATGGGTTTTTCTCATCACTTGGCGTCCGTCGTCCGTCGTCGTCGTCGTCCGTTAACTTTAACAAAAAAGAATTCCTCTAAAACTGCTGGGACAAATTTAAACAAACTTGGCAACAATCATCATTAGGGTATATAATTTTAAAAAATATGTCTGATTAACTCGCCTACCAACCAAGATGGCTAACATGGCTGAAATAGAACATACGGGGTAAAATTAAAGTTTTGTCTATTATTTGGAAAACCATAAAAAAAGAGAGAAAATCTGACTACAGCAGGATGTTGAGCTCTACCAATTGTATTAAATGTCAAAACTGTCAGATGACGTCCCAAAAAAATGGCTTCCATTCTCTAACTATAGTTTGCCTCAACTCAATGTTATGAAACTTAAACACAATGCTTATTACCACATTACCCAGATCAACTTTGAATTTTGGTGGCGTCACTTTTACTGTTCTAGAGCTATGCCCCTTTGCAAATGGAAAAACTGCTGAATTTTTTATTCCCGTTCTTTAACTTTAGTTTGCTTAAAAAAATGTTATGAAACTAATGTGCAATGTGTATTACCACAAAACACAAGTCACGTGTGAATTTTGGTGGCCTCACTTTTCCTGTTATGCCCCTTTATAAATGGGGAAAATGCTGACTTTATCGTTTTTGTTTTCTAACTTAATTTTGCCCCAAGCAAATGTTATACACTTATACACAATGCTTATTACAACAGAAGTTAGATCAAGTACAAATTTGGGTAGTGTCACTTTTGCCGTCTTAAGTTATGTCCCTTTATAAAGTTTTATGCAAGCGGGGGCATTATCTGTATCCCATGGACTCATTTCCCATTTATTATAGGATTTATTGCCCTTAAATGAAAAATTTACCATTTATTTTCTTTTTTGCCTACTATCTTGAAAATTATAATAGATACAGAAAAAAACTTTATGATGATCAGCAAGATCAGTTCTACAAATGAGACAACATGGTCGAAATCGCTAATCGACTCCTTATTACAGTTAATGTCCTTTGATGATGATTTTGACCATTTTGTTTGGCATTTTTTACCTTATATCTTAAATCTACAATAAAGACTATACGAAGGCAACTTCTTATTGGAGTTATTGCCCTTTAATGTAGTGTCTTTCGCATTCTTGGATTGTAAATAACAGAGAACCAATTTTTAATCAATGTAGCAAAATGTCATGAAGAAATGCAGATAACTAATGTGAATTTCATTTAAAAGAACATATTTATGAGATTTGAACATATAAATATTAGTATTTTTACAAGCGTAGATTTTATTTTTTTTTATTTATAATGCTTTTATACTGGCATTTTTAGGGGAGATAACTCTGAAATAGTGCATTTTCTGAAAGAGTCTACATAAACTTATTTAAATATTAGCAGGAAAAAAACGCACGGTGACCCTATCTTATCTATTGATATTCTCAAAGCTATCTTCTCGCATTTTGTTTTCAATTCTATCATTTAGTTTAGCTTCTGATCACATAATGCTGTTTTTTCCCCGTATAATCCATACAAAATATGTCATTTTGTCACAACCTGTAGCTTGAGAAAATGCTCGGTGACCTATCATATTTATTATATTTTTGAACATTTCACAATATCTACTACGTTTTGGCAAAGACTGAACAAATTCTGCCATTTAAATCTATACTCCCATACCACTATAAAGACGATTTTCACCTCTTTTGTTTTTGCGTTTTGTCATAAATTATAGAA